GGGGGGGCGCGCATGCACGAAGGGGAGGTCGGCAGGGACGGTTCCCACTCTGATACCAGTGTGGCGGACCCGCCGAGATGGTGGTCCATCAGGATGAAGATGAAGGGGTGAGGATGACGGAGATGAAGATGGAGCTGGAAGGGACAGTGCAACTCCGACACAGACTCAACATGCACGTACTCCAAAAATGTGCAGATGAAGAATGAGACTGAAACTGACTGCAGCTGGGGTATACCCCCAGTGGACTGACTGGACTGGACTGGACTGACCTGGTACCGACAGTGTTACCGGGCAGGACTGGACTGGACTGAATGAGCACACGGCCTGTGGGACCAGGCTGTGGCCTGACCCCACAGGCCGAACAGGCAAAATAGCCTGATAGCCCTGGCTCTAGGCCAGGGCAGCTAGAGGCACACTGTAGTTAGTGATAGAGATTGCAGATTCACGGGCGAGCACTGGCAACAATTGATGAAGGTATATGGGTCAAAGATGACCATGTCTTTCCGTAGACACCTGGAGACCAATGGCCAGACTGAGCAGATGAATAAGCTGCTCCAGCACGTGCTGCGCATGTACATTAGGCCCGACCAGATCGATTGGGACGAGCATCTCCCCAAAGTGCAGTCTACATATAACAACTCGGTGCACTTGTCTACTGCACGCACCCTGAATGAACTGCACAAGGGCTGGCAGCCCCCGTCCGATGGACTGCCTGAATCCGGACCAGATTCAGAGATTGCCGCTGGTACGAGGTAATTTGCAATCCAGTACGAGAAAGACTTGAAGAAGGTGGAGAAGAACATCCTCAAGGCCGAGCATCACATGGTAGAACAAGCCAACAAGCACTGATGACCGTCGCAATTCTCTATAGGTGACTTGGTCAGGGTAAAGTCAAAGGAGTTCGTTCCAGAAGAAGGGATCTCGCAGAAACTGTTACCTGTGTATAGGGGACCATGGCAAGTCTTACATGTCAAAGGAGAGGCAGATGGTCCGTCCTACACTATTGAGATTCCACCCCACCTGCACACATACCCAGTATTCCACGCATCTAAGTTGCTTCCCTGCCTTACGAATGACCAGTTTCCCTCTCGAAGTCCCATGATCCCACCAGATATGGACTGAGGATATGATACTGACCGAATAGTGACTGAAGATACTTTCCGTACAGGTCACCGAGGGCGACCGCAAAGGCAATAGAAGGTCAGATTCGCCTATCAGGAACCCAGCGAAGGCCACAGGTTCCCGAGGGAGGAACTAGTACAGACAGCCCCTCACATTGTCTCCTTTTATGAGAGGGCTCAGTGAGGAATGAATGTGTATGACCGATAAAGTTGGGATTTTTCTCGGAGGACCTCGAAATTAGGCCGGTGGGAGTGAAAGGATTTCATGCTGCAAACACCCCAGTTCCGGTCCCAGAGTCCCGAAGTGTCCCAGTCCCAGGCTGTCCTGGTAGGATAAGCCGTAGGGTCCGTAGGCTGAAGCATTGTATGTCGGTAGGTGTCGGTACCGAAAAGTCGTAGGTCGGTAGAAGTCCGTCTGGTACCAGACAAGAAAAGTCCCGAGAAGTCCAGTCCAGTCCAACGGTCCCAAGTCCAATTTTGCAGCATGTCCCAGGAAAGCCCGGAAGGTACCGGACCAACAAAATGTTTGCAGCTGACAGGCCTTGGCCAACCGGTACCGGTCTGAAGCAGGCCAAGCCAAGCCAAGTCAAGTCCTATATTTAGCTGATACAGTGCAGCGTCTCATCACCTGTTCATTTTGCGAGATGGAGAAGCTGCTGCTGCTCGTGCGTTAAGGCAACTTGGGCACTTCGCGCCTGAAGAAGAAGAGGGTGCTCGCGTGTTACTCCATAGCTAGGTTAGAGGTAGCGCAGGAAGAGGGCGATCATAGCCACCAAGGTGGTAGCTTACCTGAGTGCACGTATCCAGGGTGTCGATCTAGAGAGAGAGAGAGAGAGAGAGAGAGAGAGAGAGAGAGAGAGAGAGAGAGAGAGAGAGAGAGAAGTGAGACTAGCAGAGAGAAAGAGGAAGAGAGAGAAGCCATAGCCGCTGTCTGGTTGAGATCCTGTGTGTGCTCATAGCCGCTGGAGACGAACACTTCTTGTATATTGATAATCATTTTGGAGACGAAATCTTCTTGTATTGATTGTATCTCGGTCTGGCTTCTCACGCGTGAACTCTCATGTGAATGTTCATTGATGTATGCGAGGTGGAACTTGACGAGTACTTGGTTCATTTCACTGTTCATCTTGCCTTTCCCTCCTGTGCTCATTTACGTTTCCCATCGTAGCACATATCATGTGCTGCATGCTCTCACCCCACAAACTCCTCTGTCCTTTGTGTGTTCTCTTCTCCCATACCTCAGGCCCTTTTCCGTTGGTTGCATAATCACCAACACTGCCTCTCTTATGCAGGTGGACCTGCGCTGGCCCTTCTTGTTGTGAGCAATCCTCAAAATTTCTTATGTTGTCACTGTTTTAACTTGGCAGACTTTTTCTCAGTAAATGTAGGTAACGTTCTCAGAGGAATGTGACCTGAGGGGGAGGGCTGTTGGGGCAGCGGAATTGAACCCCGATGGGGCTGCAACTGCCATATTTCATGTTGATTGCTGTTTTGCTTGTGTGGAGTTCTGAACATAGGACCTACATGTAGGGTCCCTGTTAGACTGATAGCTCAGCATAGTCTCAGGGCTTTTCAGACTAGGGGTTTTGGTTTTCCTAGGATGGACCTGGTAGGCCCAGGCAAGGATGCAGCTTGTGAAAAGCGCCAAGCAGGGCAGAATTCTAATTAAGATTTTCATTCCTGAAGTTTTGCTGTTTCGTGGAACTCAGGTGTGCAAAATTTACCGCTGGAGATAGAATGCTGAGCGCAGCCATAGCCAGTGAGATCACGCCGTTCACTCCATGGTTTCAAGAGCCGTTAGTTGCATGTTGCTCAGGGCAGTAGGGTGCCCAATTCCATATAAGTCTTCCATGGTCTCATCATCTATTATGTTGTGAACAATCAATCCAGTTTTGTGTGAAGCTCGAGTCAAGTGTATTTCCACCCCAATCATGTGTGAATGTGTGATGACGGTCAAGGGTGAAGATTTATGATATACAAGTCGACCCCGCCTGCAGCACACCTCTGCCTGCCCCCTGCCAGGCCTCACGAAGCGGAGTGGAACTACAATGATTCTCTCTCTCTCTCTCTCTCTCTCTCTCTCTCTCTCAAAAACACACACATATGCACAGATCCTTTGTTCTGCAGTTCCTTTTTTATTTTTTTCCCCTTTTTCCTCTTCGTTCGGCTGTGAGTCCTTGGGTTTTGAAAATGCCATGCAAATATCTTTCCCCGTCCTCCTCCTCCTCCTCCTCCTCCTCCTCCTGTCTTCCTCCCTCTATTTTCTCGTCTTTGTGCTCCCCTCCTCCTCCAGTGTGGGGCATGTTGGCGATGCTACGCGGGCTGCTTGGAACAAACTTCGCACCTCAGCCGACCTTTCATCTCCTCTTCACCCTCCTCGTCTCACACCTCCTCCTTCTCGGACTCCTCATATTGCACCTTGTCCTCCTTCTGGTCGACGGTCCTCCTCCTCCTCCTGACTGCTGCCACGTAGTGCACCACGGCCATTTCTCTTCCTTCTTTTCTCGGCTTCCTCATCTCGCACCTTGTCCTCGTCCTACCTTGTCCTCCTCCTCCTCCTCCTTGTCGCCGTCGTCGTCGTCGTCCTCCTCCTCCTGCCTGCTGCCACATGGTCTGCCCCACCATTTCTTTTCCTGCTTTTCGCATTATGTTCGTCTTCTCCTTCCCTTTCGCTCCTCGTCTTCCTGTCTCCTCCCCTCTCAGTCAGCCCTCCATCTCCTCTTCGTCCTCCTCCCCATCTCACACCCCCTCCTTAGCTTCCTCATCTCGCACCTTGTCCCCCTCCTCCTCATCGTCGTCGTTGTCGCCCTCCTGACTGCTCTCTCGTGCGCGTGCCACGTCGAGCGCCCGGCCATTGATGGTTCGAAAGCCAGGTGGACAAAGGAAATAGAGGAGGATTCAGATTATATTGTCATATGCATACAGAAGGGACGGGAAGGGAGGGAGAAAGAGAGGAAGAAAGAGAGGAAGAAAGAGAAAGAGATGGCTAGCGAGCAGAGAGAAATAAAGCACGGCTGTATCTTGATCCCATCGTACCCTGCTCGTGCGCCGCCTCCTCCTCCTCTTTTCTTCCTCCTCTTCCTCCATCGTCACACCCTTCTCCTCCACCCTCCTCGTCCTTCTCCTACTGCTCCATCCCCCTCGTAGTTTTTCTCCCGCTCCTCCTCCATCCTTCTCTAGCAATTGATGCGCAAGTCCGAAGCAAGGGACATGAAGATGTGGTAGCGAGGTGTCCTCCTCCTCGATTGTAGTGCCCTCCTGCTCCATCTTCCTCCACCCCCCTCCTCCTCCTCTTACTGCTCTCCCTCGCCCTCCTTCATAGTAGCCTCCTCCTCCTCCTCCTCCTCCTCCTCCTCCACCTTCTCCTCCTCGTCCATCCTTCCCGTGCTCGTCGTAGTTCCGTTAAGTGTTTCCTTCCCATAGTTGTCGAGGATGCTATATGCCGTAGCGTCGTCATGGGAGTGATCGGTCGGTCATGTGCATGCGCTGTCAAACCTTCCACAGATTTCCCTCAACTCGCTTCGACTGTTCCCCCCCGTACGTGTCAACTTGCTTTGGACGGTCTCTCCCAAACCCAAAAAATATGGCATGTATCTTTCCATGTTCTACCGGAGGGTTCGGCTGGTTCCTCCACATCGAAACAAAAAAATAAAATAAAATGGGGCGGTGTATCTTTCCAAGTTCCAGTAGGGGATTCTTGCGCATCGAAACAAAAAAATAAAATAAAAAAATGGGACGGTGTATCTTTTCAAGTTCCAGTGGGGGATTCACTTTCATTATGCCCTGCGACCACTCGAAGCCAATACTTCTTGAGAGCGGCATGGCCCACCGGTGGACATAGTGTGACCCGGCCGGTTCTGCCCCCTCTGGCCGGTTGAGGACCTCTTTTTGCTTGAGGAGGATAGAGATATCTTACACACTCCATTTGCTTTATAATTTCTTCATTACCCTTAAGTCTTGCATGGTCTCGTCATCTATTATGTTGTGAATAATCAATTCCAGTTTTGTGTGAAGCGCCAGTCAAGTGTGATTCCATCCAAATCATGTGTGAATGTGTTATGGCGGTCAAGAGTGAATGAGATTCATAATGTATCTTACACACTCCATTTGCATTATAATTTATTCATTACCGTTGAAGATGCAGTTGTTGCATCGTTAATTTCATAGAGCAGATGCACAAACATTCAGCAAAAAGAAGACTAACTCCAAGACGTGGAAAAAGATCGAGGACATGGTGGAAACCGTGTGAGGGTTCAGTGGTGCAGTCTTCAAAGAAGATTGACTGGAAAGAGCTCCATACAGAGCACATCAGCAATTTGCACACATTGTCAAGCTACAAGCTGGGGGAGGGATGTATCGGCAAATCGGTAAACAAGCTCCTCACATTTGAGCACTAGTTTGTATGAGAGTTGACCCAAAAAGGGCTACACAAGAAAAGAAGAGACTGCCTCGTAAGGACGAGAAGTGGATGTTAGGTGATGCATAAGGTGTTGCAAGAGGCAGCGAAGGATGACAGGAAAAGGATACATGAAGGTATTACTATACACTGTACAAGTTATATAAGCTAATTTTGTTAAAGGAAAGGTGCATACCTTCGAAAGTGGGACATATTTCCAGCTGATATACACATCACATGATTCATTGTACAGGGAAAAAAAAAAAGGGTATCCTGTAAATGGGATGCTGGGACCACTGAATTGTACATGGGACAGGTCAGGAAATTAGAGAGTGTATGCCTGAAGGAATAGGAAGGTCCAGCCAATGATGCGCCGTGCCACTCAGATGTGGAGGGGGCGTTTGGCATGGGTTTAACAACATTGCTGCTGTCTGTCTTTTGAACTTGCCAGTAGAAGAAGGGGACGTGGAATCATGCCATCATGATTCATGAATGCAAATTATGAAAGGAGGTGGTTGAAGGGGCCTCTCTAGGACGGTTTCCTTTTCGTCAAAAACACGTCAAAAACAGAAGCAAAAAAAAAGATAAAGATCAAATTTGGCTGCTAGAAGTCATTCCAACACTGACCATTAGAGGCTCTCACAACGATGGCACTGTTCTGGTTGTTCCAAAAGCTGCTGTGGCGCACATAGGACTCTTTCCCCAAATCGGCAAGACGATCAAAAATGACTACGTTGCCACTCATGCTGTCACTGTTGACTCCTGCCTGCCCACAGTTCCTGAAGAGAACATTGGAAATCTGCAACAAGTAAAACCAATGATATTCAACATGACCGAAGATTTTTTGATTTTTTTCATATTTGATGAAACGCAAAATGGTCATTAACATGTCCTTCGGGACATCTGTTAAAATTGGAACGATACAGAGAAGATTAGCATGGCCCCTGCGCAAGGATGACACGCATAAATCGAGAAATGGTCCAAATTTTTGAAAAAAAAAATGGTCATAAACAACAAAACCTTACTAAAGTTCAGAAAAGTTGAGAAAACAGATCAGATTTCAGTTAGGAATTTTCCAATCACCCTCATAATCAACATGTTCGTAAGAATTAGCATGCAAAATTCTGCATAGTGGCACATATTTCTGTTTCCAAAGCGTACAGAGGAGAAAATATCTCACAGGCAATGATGGCACTATGCAATGGCAGTGCTGTGCTGTAAATCAACTGCTCGTCATCTGCGATGCTATCGTCTTCCCTCCCCCAAAAAAACACATGCCCGTGATAGCTGCATTTAGGATATTTTTTGGGACAGGGAAAGCTGAAGTGTCCATGTCTTATGATCCAGCACATACTTCTATTTCCGAAGCGTACAGAACAGAAAACATCTCACAGGCAATGATGGCACTATGCAATGGCAGTGCTGTCCTGTAAATCAACTGTTCGTCACTACTGCAACAGCAATTGTCCAATGCTATTGTCTTCCCCTTCCCCAGAAAAAAAAACACATGCCCGTGATAGCCGCACTTAGGATCTTTTTTGGGACGGGTAAAGCTGAAGTGTCCATGTCTTATGCTCCAGGAAAGATTGTAGTGTGTAAAGTGGTATGCAGGGTATCGCCGATGGGATGTTCATGTTCAGTGGTATACAAAGAGAAATGGGGTTACCAAAAACAATACACTGATATCGGACCGCGTGCATCCAGGCAACTTGCCCACCAGCCACCTATCCATGTCTTATGCTCCAGGAAAGATTGTAGTGTGTAAAGTGGTATGCAGGGTATCGCCGATGGGATGTTCATGTTCGGTGGTATACAAAGAGAAATGGGGTTACCAAAAACATTACACTGATACCGGACCACGTGCATCCAGGCAACTTGCCCACCAGCCACCTGTGCAGGCTGACCAGGGCAACCAAAAAGGTTGGGATTTCTATTTTGTTTTTTTTCCTGCTGATGGCAGGGCAGTTCTTCCCTCACCGAGTTCTGCTCTTCCTTTTTTTTTTGCCATTTGCAAGGGGGCGCGGGAGGGTGTTGGGACCTGTGTGTGTGTGTGTGTGTGTGTATGTGTGTGGGGGGCGGAGGGCAGAACGAGGGGAGAATTTAAGTGGGGAGTGTGTGAGTTGATGCGGGGAGAGGTTGTGATTGGGGCAGGGGAGTAGGTGCAAAAATGGGGGAAAGAGGTTGCAGTTGGGTGGGGAAGAGGGTGAGGAGAGGAGGGGAGAGGTGATGGGATGGGGGGAGGGTGTAAGTAAGGAGGGGTGGGTCGATGGGGGACGAAGTGGTGGTGCTGTGGGGGAGGAGGTGGCGCGACTGGAAAAGAAGTGTGCATTGATTCTGGAATTCACACCCACGATGGGTCTCTGGTACAGTGGAAAATTGGGACTACGTATCAGAACTAGACCTGAGACGCGTGAGTCCTTTCAAGCCTGGTGTTGGAGGTGGAGGGACAGGGGACGGAAGTGGGGTGATGGGGGTCGCACAATGGGGTGATAGGAATGGCGCAACAGGCGGAGAAGTGAGTGACACAATGGGGGGAGAAGCACAGAGTGTGGGAGAGGCATGCACAATGGGAAATATGGACTCTCTCTCTCTCTCTCTCTCTCTCTCTCTCTCTCTCTCTCTCTCTCTCTCTCTCTCTCTCTCTCTCTCTCTCTCTCTCTCTTGCACATGGGGGAGAAGAAGAATAAAAAAGGAGAGGAAAAAGAAGAACCAAGCACAAAGGAGAACCTGGAGAAGAAGAAGGAAACTGGGGGAGGAGGAGGGGAATAAGATGGAGAAGTTTTTCTTGTCTTTCCATACTCTGAAGTCCAAATCGCTCACTGAAGGAATTGAACCTGGAACCTGAAAGAAACAAAGCGGAATACTTAACCATATTCAAAAGTGAGCTGAGAGGAACGCAAAGCCCACAGATGCAAACATCGTTGAACGGCAGCATGGTTAGTACATTGCCAGGTGTGCCCAACCCAGCTTCAATCACATGGTCCCCGAGCTCCTTGGCCCAGGTTTATGTGTGGACCGCATCGGGGTCCAAACTTCCGACTGCTCAAGACACGCTGTGCAGAAGTATTTGTTTTTCTATCCCACTTCCAAGGTCTGAATCGCTCACTCAAGGAATCGAACATGTAACATGCCCCAGCGGCTAGACGGTGAGACCCCACTTAACCCAAAGAAGAAGAAGGTACTCACAGCTTGGTAACGAGTGTGAAGAGCAGTCTACTGAGGAGGCTACTGAGAGCCAAGGTGACGAAGACAAGTGCATGAGCGACAACAATGGCAAGAAAAAGATGAGAAGCAGGCATGCCCAGTTTGCTCAAGCTTTCAATTGGAATAGCGAGCGAACTGGGCACACCTTCTCCCCCCCCCCCTGCTGCGTGATTCTCAGCTGCTGATTTTGTTTTTGGGTTTTTATGCTTTAACACATCTTGATGTCCGTCCGGCTTACAGGGAGTACCCTGGACGGTGCATGACACAGCATTGGAAATCGGCCCAGTGTCCAATAGTACAATGCACATCACAAGACACCTCACTGAGGAGGAGCTATTGCCGCATTGATTGTCCTGTGGGAACCAGGGGATTAACTGCCAGTGCTCTGTGGACAATGAAAGCCTGCCTCTTCAGACCTTAGTAGACAGCTGAGATACACAGAAACGGAAAAAAGGAAGAAAAACAAGGGCTTATGGCCATTTGCCGCCATTGTTCTTGTGACTAGCCACCTCCGTGCTGGCGCCAGGCAGCCTACTGGGTCAGAAATGGCCAGTACCAGCCAGTCGCTCCAACTGCCAGGGAGCCTGACCATTGGGAAGGCTCCATTCTATTCATGGGGAGCAGCACGCGCTCGAAATCAACCGAGTGTCCCATAGTATAATGCACATCACAAAACAACTCGTGGAGAAGGAGGTATTGCAGCATTGATTTCCCTGGAGAAACCAGGCGAAAGCCTGCCCCTTCAGCCCTTTGCAGACAGCTGAGGTTTGCATAAACGGGGGAAAAGGGAAGAAAAGCCGGGGCTTATGGTCCTCAAAACGGTTCTTGTCACTTGCCACTTCTGTGATGGTGCCAGGCGACCTACTGGGTCGGAAATGGCCAGTACCGGCCTCACGGTCCGACTGCCAGGGAACCTGACCAGGGGGTTTGCTGCACAGCCTCCTTGGTGGGTCCTGACCCTGGTGGTCCGGGTGCTTGGTCAGTTAAGGAAATACATGTTTTTCTTGGGGGAGGAAATCAAATAAAGGAAAAGCCATTCCTTTCTTCTTTTCAGGTAGCATCCCCTCTCATGGAAAGACCTTTCCACCAACAAGGAGATATAAGTAGATATCTGCCCCTCTACCTAACGTCTTCACCAGAATAGAACGCCCTTGGTGCAACTTTCAGTCTACGTACGGTGATAATTACCGGGCGTTCTATTCGGGTGAAGATGGTAGTCCTCAGCATCCAAGGAAACTACCCAGGAGGGCCAGGATTCGGTTGTTTTGCATTAAAGTTGATTAAACAGCTTCATTCTGGTGTCTGACTCTTCCCTCACATCTCTCATAAGTTATAACTCATTTTTGAGATTATGACGACTTTGTCGATGAGTTTGTGTTGGTGGTCAGCCACCTATTCCTTGCTCAAAGAAAACACCTTCGCTAATCTGGTGAGTTGGTCCAAAACTGAGGTAGTAATTTACCCAGGTGTGAGGGTGTCATATGCCGGACCTATTCCACATATGCAACGCCAATCAGGGAACAGAGGGTATTGCAACTTCAAGGCAAATTTTGTTCTGACAGAAAGTATTCCCAGGAGGTGGATGATCCTTTTCCAAAGAAGGTACATGCGAAGGAGTGGGGTGGGGCATAAGGCAGATTGACGATCCAAGCACAGTTAGGAGTGATAGATTTGTTTGCAATCTCCCTTGTTGCAGTTCAGAAACAAAGGCTCAATCATTTCCGGTGCAGATTTTGTACACTTCTGGACATGCGGCCAGCATGCCTGTCAGAAACTATTCAGCCAGCTCTGTCCCTAAATCTGTCAGGCTCACTCTGCCATGCTCTCTCTCTC